AACGGTATCTTGCATATGATTGGTTAAAAATGTGATAATAGAAAAGAATGTGATTGGATTAAAGCGCACAGTACATGTAGTATCTGTAATACCGGTATGTAGCGCAAGGTTGCACAGCTGTCAGCTTCAAAATGAATGCAAAACGACACGCATTCAGTGGGTTCGTCCGTTATTCAGACCTTATTTCGCGTTTTTAAGCTATTGACCTCTTGATTATAGTTTACTACTACGTACTAGTAGTACGTAGTAATATTTTTAACCATTGAGTCCGTTCTTCACAGGTTGCCCCCGCATGGATACCTTTATCTATCTTGACATCTGTTTTACCAGGAACTTTGTGTCAAATGACGGAAAACGGTGGTAACGTTACATGTAGGTACTGTAACGTTACGGTAGGCATTGTGGGGAGGTGAAGTGAATAAGGAAAGGGTAGAGAAGGAATGAAAGGAACAAGGCAGAAATAATGTGGATGTGAAGACTCGGTAAGGAGCCGGACCATGCCAGTGAAGAGGCTTAAGGAGGAGGGAAACTGGAAGTGATGAAGCTTAAACCAAGGCGAGGGTGTTTGCTTTTGATTGGTGTATAATGGTGGCGCGGTAGAGTGTAGAGAAATGCCCGTGCGAGACATAAAGCCGAGGAGGAGGACATAAAAAGTCTAGGATACTGCAAATGATTTTATCGAGTAGCGTTACGTTACATCTGACCTTTGGAATGGAGACGTTTTACGCTGCCCTATACAGTCGGCGACGGAATTTAAGGGGCACTTATTACTTCGATTATTCGGAAACACACGGTATGATTGGCTGAGAAGCTTCGAAATTCGTTCAATATTGTGGCCAACCATATTCGAGACTCTGGATTTTCTGCAGTTTCAAACATCGAGGTATTTTAAATTGATTGGTACGATGCGCCTCTAACAAAGACAAGCGTTTGATGCGATAGCGTAGTGGTAAAACACGTTGTGTGTCTTGAGTAAGTCCCGGGTTCGAGTCCCGGGCGCGTCGAACTTTTTTTATTGAAAATTGTATGCCTTTGAGAAGCTCCGCCTAATTTCCTCCGGCATAACACCGAGGGCAGGCAAATTGCCTATCATGACAGTTAGAATACAGTACGCTTACTAACGTACTACCTAGTAGTACTATGAATAATAGTAGTACGTAATACTATTATGGTCGCAACTTCAGTAACACTGTACTGGCCTTGAAGCAAATCGGAGTAATTCCCTGAGAGCAACAGTTCTACTGTTGCTTAGGCCCGTCTGGCAACATGAAATATTACAATATTCAGTCCCAAATCGCCATTTTTGGGCCTAATTCAACAAATCTGATCAAAATTGACATTGTGAAACATGCCTTGCTTGAAGAGATTTAACCCAAATTCCAATAATTCCAGGTGGGGTTTACTCCTTGAGGAGGTCCAAAACGCCAAAATACTCTCTATAATCGACCGTTTACCTCCATTTTGAAAATGTCATTTTGGTTATCCCATTTTGCGAGAAAATGGAATATTATTTTTAAAATGTTACCAGACGCACCCTTATTTCCGTTCAAAAGAACCAGTAGTTAGATCTGTAACCTCGGAGCTCCCGACCCCTTCTGTTGCTATTCCAGGGGTAAAGTTGCATCACAAGTGGTTAGCTTATCGCTAACCACTGAAATGCACTTAACCCCTAGCTATACAGTAATGTGTGGTACTATGACATAATGACATAATAAGAGCAAGTGACATGATTGCACAAGCAACACACTCTCACGGAATTATTAATACTGACTGTGAAGTAAATCGTCAACTCGATCACTCAACTGGCACAGAATGTTACGACTACTGTAGTACTTATGTGCACCAGACGGTTGTTTCTCAGTCACTTTATGACGTACAATTCCCTCTTTAAAACAGTTCCACTGTTGTTTGACCCAAAATACTGTTTCAATGAGATTTATAAGGAACTTTGTATGCTCAAACCACGTCACGTCTTACTAGGGGTTAAGTGCATCGAGTGGTTAGCGATAGCTAACCACTAGCGATGCAGTTAACCCCGGAAATTAGCATCGTATGTACTCACCGGGGGTAGGACGGAGTCCCAGGTTACAGGGCTACTGGAGAAAAGGTGTATCCGGACGTAATAATTCCCTCATTGACTGTGAAACAGTACTTCGGGTCAAAACAACAGTGGAACGTTTTCAATGAGGGAATTATTCCTTTGTGACAGGTCGACAGATTGCGATCTCTCGATGGAAAGATGACAACGGTAAGGACTTTTGATCGTCCAATGGACATGTCACAAGGTTAATGGATTGGATCTGTATGTTGGACACAAATCACAGGAATACCGGAAGTTTCGAAGGTCAGCTATTCGCAGCTCTAGGGACTGACTGGAGAGATTAAAGCTAATAGCAGCGAGTTGCGTGGGGCCGGGAAACTCTTCAAGCAGGCAGAACCACCGTCCGGTGTGCTACATACTAGTATGTCGCGACTTCCATTTACTAGGACACAACTAACATTATGAATGGGCTCCGAAGCACCTGTTTCACACTTTTAGTGTGACAGTTCGCACGTGGAATTTGCAGCATTGTATTACAGCCATCGATGGTGGCGCGTGGACGTTCCCATTCATTTTTCAAAACGCACTGGAACGCACATACCATGCTTGTGCATCGAATCTTGGTCGCGGCGGCTGGACTCTTGGCCGCGTGTCACTTCGTCCCCCAGGCGACTGCCCAAGTCATCAACATGCGTCGCCACGAACGCATTGTGATTGTCGGAGGGGGGCCTGCGGGGGTCCACTACGCTACCCTCTTGGTCAAGAAAGGGTTCACCAACATTACGATCCTGGAACAGTCCACAGAAGTGGGCGGCAAGTCCAAGACCGTCGTCGACCCCCTCGGCATCCCGCACGAACTGGGCACTTGCTACGCTACGTCGTTGTACCAGCCAGTGTTTGACCTGCTCAAGGAGTACGACCCCACCAACACCCTCGTGCCATTTGTGCCGTTCATCAAAGGTCACACGTATGTCAACCGAGACGCCATGCCTATAATGGACTACAAAGCGTATGTGGCGCAGCTCGTCCACCGACTTATGGGACCAGTGAAAGAGCGCGAGCTTGTCCGTGAAATCGAGAGAGCCTTTGTCAGCTACAGCAGCATTCACACGTCGATCTTTGGCGTGTATGACTACGGGCTGCCGCCGCAACCGTCGGATTGGTCTCGCATCGACATGTCGGGGCTGGAATTCCTCCGACGAAACAAGCTCCTCGCGCTCGAAGGGTTCTTCCGGTTTGTGTTTCAACAGCAAGGCTACGGAACGTTGGACACCGCGCCAGCGTTTTACATGTTGTGGTGGATTCATCCGGACCTGCTTCGCAAGCGCAAAGAAGCTGATGCCAAGCGTCAGCCGTGGGCGTTCATGTTGTCCAAGGGGTATCAGTCGCTGTGGAAGGCCATGGTGGCCAAATATGAAGGTCAAATTGACGTCCAACTCGACACCAAGGTAGTTCAAATCGCCCGGACACTTTCACCCATTTACGTTACGGTCCGCCGCAGCAACGTGCTCGACATCGTGCGTGCCGACCACCTCGTCATGGCGACAGACTTGAGTCACATGGTGACTTTGCCGTCCGACTTATTGGCTAATGATATCAGCTTAACCAAAGACCTGACGTCGTCTTCCTTCGTCGTGTCGTTGTTTGAATCGGACGCACGCAAGGACGAAAGCGTATCCCAGTGGTGGCCCAACCGTGGCGTGGGCGAGTTGGAAGGCCGGCTGCAACTCACTCGCAACTCGCGGCTGTCCCTGTACAACCCGTTGCCAGCCCACGGATCTCAATCCGACCCCGCTCCCACCAACTGGGGGGTTAATGCCACCGGCCGGCAAACCCGAGTAGCGTACCAGTTCTACAACCAACGGTACCCCTACTCGCCTACGGCGGTCAAAACGCAGTTGCTCGCAGACCTCGAGAGCGCGTCGTTTACCAATGCGGTCGTGCAAAAGCAAATCATCCACAACTACTTCCCAAGGTACAACCTCACGCAGTTGCAGCAAGGCTTGCCGTGGAAGATTTGGGACAGCCAAGGGTCCATCAGAACGACGTGGATTGGGTCGTCTGTGAGCTTTGAAAGCGTGCTGGACGTGGTTGTATACAACAACAAACTCATCGATCGCGTCAACATTACATGATAAGCCGTGGATAGATTGACCAAAAGACGTCAGAGTATCTCGCCATCGAATACATATACTGTGGTTAATTGTAGTCAACTACTGGTAAACCACTTCAATACAGTAATGCATGCTTTCCAATCCTACGTCAGTACTACCGGTAGTACTTACCATAGCTGTTACGTTAAGATTAAAGTATTGGATTATATGCCTGGTTTAACAGTAAACTAAAAACCTAAAAGTTCAAAAATAAATGGATTAAAGGTTATGTAAAGTTGTCATTGAAGCCGACATGAGCCAGGATGACTACATGCTTCGCTGCAACTAAGTGCTTTACAGGAGGCTGAGGGAAATGATCAACTTTACGAACCTCAAAGGGTAGTGACATTTATTAATAACGTCAGTACTCTACAGTAAGTACTACATCTACTGTACAGACAGTACTTAAGACTTACGGGACAGCATTGAATATTAATACCAACCTTGGATACTATGGTTAATATAATATAATTGTTGAATTAAAAGCGTGGATGACATGTGGATGAAATTTGGATGACATTGGATGAAATTGGATGAAGTTGTGGATGAAACCTAAAGTAGTGACCAAGCCTTACGTTGGCCCCGAGCGCCCGGGAGGCCGTCTGCGCAAGCGCGGCCGTACGAGAGCGCGGATCTAAGCTTCTCACTTCACCGAATGATCTATCTTTTCTTCTTGTCGGGCAGCGGCAGGTAGGCCGTAGGCCGTGCCGCTCCCGGACGAGGCCTGTATACAATGACCTAGCATTATCCTAATTTACTCTCATCTATACTAATTAGGATATGACCTAATATTAATGGTGGATGACGTTGGGATGACGTTTGGATGACACATGATACTATCACGGATATTTGAAATCCATATAAATAATTCGTAGTACCGGTACCGGTAGTCGGACGGCCATGTAATCCGT